TGATAATAGTTGACTGCGATTCAGGTTGATATCTACTTGCGGTCGAGCTTGCGGTAGTTTGGTTGATATGGCTTACGCTGTCGTTTGACGAAAATTTAATGGCCAAATCTAGCTGTTGCGCCGCCGACACCGTTTCGCCATAGGAAATTTTCGGCTGCTGTAAAAGTTCTTTCTTTAACGCAGGATTTATCCCTTCGATAAATTGTTGTTTCAGCAGAATATCACGTTCGTTTGCGCCCAGTTTAGGCATTGCGCGTCTTAGTAATGACTCCAAATTGTACGCGAAGACTTGAATATCCTCCTCAGGTTTACGCTCTCGTTTGCGAAATTCCATCATTGCTATATGCATCCCGGTCGCATCTCCTCTGAAAGCGGCAACGAGCGCTTCACGCACATTCTTAAACGACGCTTTCTGTTCTCCTTCAAGTCGTTCAAACACGGCGAATGCTTTTCCACATTGAAGAGTAGGCAAGCGTTTCAACATAATATCCTCTTTCCACTCATTTGCCTCGGAGCAAAGCTCATATTTACGCAACCAAAACTCAATATCCCCGTCAGAAAAGGACTCCGGGAGAGCAACACTAGATCTATTCGATGTAGCCATTTATCCTGGTCACGGCACCAATGTAATATCAATGAAAACACCAAACACGTTTCAGTAATTATTTATAAAGTCTCTCTCATATGTTTACACGTTGACTACAAAACCCAGACAAAGCACGACTTCTGTATGTCTACATGTCTATTACTAAAATATAATGTTACCGTGTAGTGTTACCATAACTTGTCAACAAACTTAACAATCATCACGAAAGGTCAGAGGTCTATATACTACATTAGTGTAATCGTTTTGCTTGACTCGGGCGTTAAAATATTTGGACAAAGCGAAAACGTTTTAAAATGCTTAAATGTAAATACAAGTTCATTAAATTCCCAGGCGTGCAATCACGCGCGTTTAAGAGCGGCTTAAGAACAATGAGATAATTTCTATAGTGTCACTTTTTTTTGGGACATCCTGTATATGGCAAAAGCTTAATATTCCAACTTTAGGTCCTTGTGGAGGAGAGAAAAAGAAAAGAACCCGCTAGACCACCATCATTTATTCATTTGCCCTCTAATTAATATTATATAGGGTGTATAAAAAAAACTGAACCCTTTCAAATTCAAATTAGCTATAACGTATTGTAGTAATTTGACAGCTCTAATTGCTTTGAATTAATGATTGGGTAAGAACACAAGGAAATGAAGGAATACTGTATTTCTTTTAAATTTTCTAATTTTTATTTCTTTGAGTTTTGTCCCATGAGTACAAGACCTTGTGTTCTTATCCAACCATTAATTTAAAGCAATTAGAACTGTCAAATTACTACAATATGTTATAGCTAATTTGAATTTGAAAGGGTTCAGTTTTTTTTATACACACTGTAGAGGACCAAATGGACGAAGCTAAGGACCTTGGTATGAGCTCGGTTTGTGTCAGTGACGAACCGAACATAGAGGACATAAAATCGGGGAAATTTCATTTGATATTTGGATCGGCCGAAAACGTTCTTAACAAGTGTTTTCTTGACGCTTTAAAATATTCAAGTTGTCATTTGCGTAATCGTTTGGTTACTTTTGTTATAGACGAGTCTCACGTCATTGAGACGTGGACTGGAGAAAGCGGTTTTTTGCGTGTAAATGTTTTTGGAGTTTCTTTCCAACTTGACATTACAGACTTGTTGTAAACAATCATGCGTTGAAATCGGGATTTGCGTTTTGTTTACATATATTCGCAGGCTATTACATAAGGCGTGTCTGTATCAGGGCTGTGCCAAGTGGTTTTTGGTTGGGGGGTGAAATAAAAATTTGGTCCCATCTGGGAGCCCCCTCAAAAATTTTTTTTCCAGAAACCAAAGAATTTTCCCGGAAAATACTGGGGAGGGGGGAGGCCCCAAACTTTTATCAAACACTAAGTTTACATAATGGGGGCTTAAATTTAGTTTTGAAGACCTTTTTGGAACAATTTTCCAGAAAAGTCTTTAATATTTAACACGTTCCGCTTTCCAGGGCCCCCTCTCCACACCTGTCTCTCATTTTTGTATTTATTGCCTAGTGATACACTTCACACACCCCAGGTGCCACGGCCCTGGTCTGTATTAATTTGTTACATTGTAATTTTGTAATTAATGATTAAAATTTGACACATTTTACATTTGATTGACAACACTATAAATAAGATGGGCACAGACGTATTTTTATTGACTAAACCGGCAGGCTCTAATTCAATTCAAAGAGCTTGCTCGCAGGCAAATCGGACTTGCACACCTCTAGCTGACACCCTCCCCCCCCCCAATTAAGAATTTTTTGCCTTACCCATCACAAAAACCCCGCAAAGATCAATAGTATGTATTGAGTGCAAACATGGCCCATCCATTTGCACAAAAACAAATTGATGGCCCACTCAAACTGATGAAAATAATTTCATGGCCCATCTTTATTTCCTCTGGCAAAACCAAGCAGTTACTCCGGTCTCTAAACTATCGAAGCATAGCGTTGCGTGAGGGTGTTACATTACTTGTCGACCATGTGATATTTGCGTCTAGAAGACTAATACATTCCAGTGTACCATATTTATTTTGGTTAATAATTGAATTTGAAAGATATACACAATTCTGATTAAAACCATCTGCGATACTCTACTGAAATATTCCTTTGTGGCTTTCTTTTCTATTGGGCAGGGAATAAATATTTTGCCCTCTCTCCTCTTGCCCCTCTTCGCTCCCCAAAATAATATCAGGTTTTTCCAAATTTGTGATAATACTGGTTAGTATAAATATACATAGGTGATTCCTGAAACTTCCCCACGCTGATTGGTTGCCGTTGAGGTGATTATAACGTGATAATCACCTAAGCGATTTTTGAAACGGTGACCGAAGCTGTTTTGTCAATTAAAGGGAAATGGCAATATATTTTTTTATTTTCTCATTTGAAAGAACTTTTGAAACTATTTAATTTAATAACTTATTTTACCGATTCTTCATATCCCGCTTAGTTCTTGAAATATTTTCACTTGAAGTAATGACATGTTAGCCATCTTGGATAATTTTTTATCTCATTAACGGTAGTTTTGGTGACGTCACAACAGGGACTAACCATATAAAAGTATTCGTTGCTGACCAAATATTGATTGGTAGATGTTTTAAAAGTTTCAAGTAATCTTGATATTTCCAAGCGCATACAGAGTATAATTTTGAGTGCAAAATTATTAGTGGTTGTCTAGATAAAAATATTGCGTGACCCCTGTTGTGACGTAACATGCATATCTACAAAAATCCAAGATGGCGGACATTTCATTTCTTTCGATTAAAATATTTGTAGAAGTAAGCAAGATATGAAAAAACGGTAAAAGAATTTTCTTTTTGGTTTTAAATGTTACGATAAAATAAAAAAACGAGAAAATAAAAAATATATTGCCATTTCCCTTTAAATGAGGAAGAAATGTGTATTTTTTCCCAAATAATCACCTATCAAATTACACTAAAACAATTATTCACCTCAGGCTCGGTGATTACCGTGAATAAAAACCTCGACTTCGTCTCGGTTTGTATTCACCGATAATTACCTCGCCTTCGGCGAATAATTGATAAATAATATTGGAAGTGTCGCAGATGTTTAGTGGAAGATTGTAGTTACAATCTTCCACTTTTGTCAAGTAACAGTAATCATAAATAGTTACAAATTTATTAATTGTTATGGCTCTAACTCAACTTGGCTGCATGTATGAGAAGTCAATAGGCCTAGATAAGATCGAAATGTATTAACCTCCAAAGGAATCAACAATGATAGTGGGTGCACTGCTGTGGTCGCAGCTTCACGTGTGGTCATATCCCCCTTAAAAACTAACTAAGAACAGGCTATATAAAGAGTTCTTCAACTGATCCAAAAAAACGTTTACTTACCCCCACTGGTCAAATGAGTTTATGTCCCATATTTTGCCCTGAACAAATATCTTGTGTTCATACATAGCTATAAAATTAAAAATTTAGAAATATGTTGCAAAGGAAGAGTTTCCTAGAATATATTTCACAATTCCAATTATTAGTTTAACCTAATAAATTTTATCTAGGAATTTCATTTATATTAATAAGAACTTTATTCAACGTGTTTCAATGTCATCAAGTTCATTAAAATTTGTTACTACGCAAGTGTCTATATTACGAGTCCACGCCATTAGGAAATAATCACGTCAACAATGCATATGTGCACAAATGTGGCAAAAACATATAGGTAATTACAATTTTACAAGTTCGAAGGGCGAACTTCCTTCCCCTGACATTTTTGTAGAACTGAAAACAATTCACAACTCTCCAAACTTCTTCATCACGATTTTCTTTGACATGCTTTGTGTTCCTCGCTTTGTTGGTGTAAATGACGGTCGTGTATCGGATATAATCTGGGTTGTACAGACTGCTGGTGTAAACGCGTTGAAGTTTGGAACCAATTACAGTGGAAATATTTGTGAGTTGCCTGCTAACGATGTTTGCGCATTTCTGGTCTTTCAACAGCAAGATGATACGGACAACATTCTGCGATGGTTTGCGGGGCTTGCTGTTTGGAGTTGTTCATTGATAAACTAAGATATAGTGGAATCAACCATGGAGGATTTCTAAGGCAATGGAAGAGCGTCTTCAACCGTTCATATTTGTTACTGATATACACCCATGCACGATGAGGAAAGGCGAAAAGCCTGAATTAACATGGTTGTTATAAGAAAGTGCTTGTTGGTTGACCTGATGTAAACTTTGCTTTCTAATCAACCATGTTTCTTCGTCGCTTCCATTACCAGTAAAGGCAATCATGTTCGACTTTGACTTCCACAGCGAAACGTAGGCCCCATACACACGATATCGCATCGGAGCGAGTCAGAGACATCAGCTAAGACGCTTTTCAACCTGTTACAGCTTTTCATATTTTCGTTTTTGACTAATTATGTTATATTATCATAATTTTGAGTGTTAATCGCCTTGGAACTGTAAAAATATCACTAGGATGGGAATTCGGTATCGTGTAACTGGGGTCTTAATAACGGATAACAGCTGTTGAAAGTGGATAGGAACGATGTTGCTTTAAGAGAGCTTTGTGCTGTTAATAGTTTCATCAACAAACCGGCTGTAAAAAGAGGGTAATTTTCAAGGAGCACAACATCCACAAACCATCGCAGAATGTTGTCCGTATCATCTCGCGGTTCAAAGACCAGAAATCTGCAGACATCGTTAAAAGACATTGATCACATTAAACCAGAAAGGAAGTTAAGAATGATCTCGCAGTAGTGAGGTTTAGATTTTAGTTTAAGTACGAGTTACGTTAGCATTGCGCGTTTTGGCGAAAAAACCCTTTTTTTGCCCACTCGTTATAGCAGGGCCGGATTAACGTTACGCGGGATCCATGGCACATTATCAGCGCAGACGCCCTTGACCC